ACAGAAATACCCCCTTCAGTGCTTTCTTCCTTATACTATAATAGATAATAGGGCAAATTGACTAGTGTGTTGGTGAGAAAAGGGAATTCACAGACTTTGAACAACAAACATTCTAATTGGAACACCTACACTAACTCAAATACTGGTTATTCAAGTTAGGATAGAATTCACGAGCTGGATTTAAATTAATTCAGTGAACACTGGCTAACTAAGTTCCAGTGATGAACTAAATGTTGTGTAAGCCTTTTCAATTCTAACTATCCCACTCCACATCCAAGAAAAATATGATCTTAATTCTTATTGGGTAAGAATATGGAAATATGCAGAGGTTATAAATATTTTTACCTATTTTGAAAATTGAGAATTGAGTCTGTCCTCATTAATTTCAAAAGCAGTTATCTCACTAATTATTTAAAAGTTCCTAAATCACAATAGAAGCATGAAACCAAACAGGTTACTTACTTATTTAATCCTAGTTTCAGTTTCACAAATTCTGCAAAATTTTAAACTATATGCATGAGCTCATATCATAAAGGCTCTACTACAGGGGTAAAAATTAAATTATTTCCTGCAGTGTTTCTAAGGCCAGCATCAATTGCTTTCATAGTTTTGTTTTTGTGATGTAAGAACAAGTGTTCTCAAGCATGCACCTATGGCTTCATTGGGGTGTGCCCTATGATTGGTTGACTGAGGAAGAGAAGACTAGGGCTTGGTTTACAGATGGTTCTGCACACTATGCAGGCACTACTCAGAAGGGACAGCTGCAGCATTACAGCCAATTTCTGGAACAACCCTGAAGGACACTGGGGAAGGAAAACCTTCACAGTGGGCAGAACTTCGGGCAGTGCACATGGTCCTGTATTTTGCTTTGAAGGAGAAATGGCCAGATGTGCGATTAAATACATTGATTCATGGGCCATAGCCAATGGTTTGGCTGGATGGTCAGGGACTTGGAAGGAGCATGATTGGAAAATTGGTGAGAAAGACATTTGGGGAAACGGGCAAAGGATGTGAACATACTTGTGTCTCATGTAAATGCTCATGTAAAGGTGGCTTCAGCAGAAGATGAGTTCAATAATCAAGTAGATCGGATGACCTGCTCTGTGGATCATCAGCCTCTTTCTTCAGTTATCCCTGCCATTGCTCAATGGGCCCATGAACAAAGTGGCCATGGTGGCAGATATGGAGGATATGCATGGTCTCGACAGCATGGACTCCCATTCACAAAGGCTGATCTGGCTACAGCTTCTGCTGAGTGCCAGATCTGCCAACAGTAGAGACCAACACTGACCCCCCCCCCCGCCATATGGCACTATTCCCTGTGGCGACCAGTCTGCAGCTTGGTGGCAGGTTGACTACATTGGACCACTTCCATCTTGGAGAGGACAGCGTTTTTTCCCTAGAGGAATAGACACTTATTCTGGTTGTGGATTTGCCTTTCCTGCATGTAATGCTTCTGCCGAAACTACCATCCAGGGACTTACAGGATGCCTTACCCACTGTCATGGTATTGCGCACAGCATTGCTTCTGACCAGGGAACTCATTTCATAGCCAAAGAAGTGTTACAGTGGGCCCATGGTCATGGAATCCATTGGTCTTACCATGTTCCCCACCATCCTGAAGCAGCTGGCTTGAGAGAACCATGGAATGGCCTCTTAACGACATAGTTACAGCGCCAACTAAGTGGCAATAGCCTGGAGAGCTGGGGCACTGTCCTCCAGAAGGCAGTGTATGCTTTGATTCAGCATCCAATATATGGTACAGTTTCTCCTATAGCCAGGATTTACGGGTCCAGGAATCAAGGGGTGGAAGTGGGAATGATTCCACTCACTCTCACCCCTGGTGACCTTCTATGAACATTTTTGCTTCCTGTATCCTCAACTTTGCACTCTCCTGGCTTAGATGTTTTGGTTCCAGAGGAGGGAGTGCTTCTGCCAAAAGAGACAACACATATTCCATTGAACTGGAAGCTAAGACTTCCTCCTGGCCACTTTGGGCTTCTGATGCCCTTAAGTCAGCAGGCTGAGAAAGTTATAACAATATTTGGAAGGGTGATTGACCCAGACTACCAGAGGGAAATTAGACTGGTTCTCCACAATGGAGGTAATGAAGATTATATCTGGAAGGCAGGGGATTCCTTAGGATGACTTTTGGTGTTACCATGTCTTGTGATTAAGGTCAAAGAGAAACTGCAACAATTCAATTCAGACAGGATAACAAATGGCCCAGACCCTTCAGGGATGAAAGTATGAGTCACTGCTCCAGGGAAAGAGCCAAGACCTGCAGAGGTGCTTGCTGATGGTGGAGGAAATACAGAATGGGTAGTAGAGGAAGGTAGTTACAAATACCAACTTAGGCCACAGGACTAGTTTCAGAAACATGGATTGCATTGACATAGTATTTTTGTCCTATTTGGTTAAGAATAGACTTATGTGCATGTATACACATATGTTACCAAGTACTTGTATTATTCTTTTCGAATGTGTAATTGAGATAATTGTTAAGTGGTTAAGTGTTGTGAACCTATATGATTATATTGGGTTGTGAGACACTAAAGGACTAAGCATTCCTCGAAGACCTTATCACCTACTCTAAGATATATATTGCATTGGTTATTGTATGATGGGATAGTCATATCATGTTAGGTGAAATTATGACCTCAACATTGTTTTCATTTGAAAATTAAGCATGACATAGAGAGATGCTATTGGGTGTCAAGTTGACAAGGGTGGACTTGTGATGGCCAATCCTGGGTGTCAACTTAACTGGATCTGGGATTAACTGAAATGAGAGAGATTTTCTTAATTGGATCATCTGAAACTGGAAGACACGCCCTAAATGTTGGTGTTACCTTCTGATGGCATCCCATATAAAAGACCAAGGCAGAGGAGAATGCCAGGCTTCTTGCTGCTTGCCTTCTCTCTCGCTGGTGAGTTCGTCTTGCTGCTGTAGAATGAAGACTAGCTGATCTTTTGGAATTCCTCAGACCTTCAGCTCCAGATATGGACTACTGAGACATCCAGCCTTGTGGACTGAGAGACTATGGATTCTCAGCCTCTCCAATGTAGCCCAGCCATTATTGGACTACTCAGACTCTATCCTGTGAGCTAAGCTGATAAATATGCATATGTATTCATTCTACCGGTTCTGTTTCTTTGGAGAACCCTGACTAATACACTGGCTAAGTTCATGTCTGAACTAAATCTTGTGTAAGCCTTTTCAATTCTAACTACCCCACTCCACATCCAAGGAAAATATGATCTTAATTCTTATTGGGTAAGAATATGGAAATGTGCAGAGGTTATAAATATTTTTCCCAATGACCACATAACTATTTTGAAAATTGGGAATTGAGTCTGTCTTCATTAATTTCAAAAGCAGTTATCTCACTAATTATTTTAAAGTTCCTAAATCACAATAGAAGCATGAAATTGAACAGGTTACTTACTTATTTAATCCTAGTTTCATTTTCACAAAAGTAATGAAAATGATTTCTTCTACAAAATTTTAAACTATATGCATGATCTCATATCATAAAGGCTCTACTACAGGGGTAAAAACGAAATTATTTCCTGCAGCGTTTTGAGGGCCAGCCTCAATTGCTTTCATAGTTTTGTTTTTGTGATGTAAGAACAGTTTCTTTTTAAATTTAGGAATATTTTCCTTTACTGAAAAGAACAGAATAATTTCCTTTTCTGAAGTTTTGATTCATTGGTTTGTATTTTAGAATGATAATCTAATCTTCAAAGTATTTTATTAAAAATTATGTGATGACTGATGTCACTATAAATTAGTGAAAGTTTAAAATGGTGGGAATTTATTGTGCATCAACAGTAATACAAACAAAAATTGATTTAAAATGATGATTACTATTTTCTTGAGAATAATTAATATAGCAGCAATAGTTTATTAGAGAATTGCAAGAATGCAAAAACTGCGTGAAAAACTATGATTGTTTCCTTCCATAAGGAATCAATAATATGAGAGATCTAATTCAAAGCTGTATACAAATTTATTAAAAGGAAACTTAAAGATTCAATAGGTAGTACATATTGCTGAGCACATTAATTAAAAATAAGACCGGCACTTTTAAGGATGCTTTCCAGTTCTGAAAAATAAATCTTGATTTCATCACTGTGCTGGTTACTTTAAAATAGTCTTTGGATTTAAAGATAACCTCACATAGCACACAGTTGAAGTTTATTCTAATAGGCAAAACATATTTTGTTTTCAGGAAGCATGGGTATGAGCTATGGGCTTCTATGAAATGAAGAAATCAGACTTCACACCAGACTACCAAAGGAGAATCTGAATTTACTCATGTTCCGTGTTAACTCATACACATACTTATGCTTAGAAACAGCAGAATCAATCTATCTGCCTCCTTTTCTTGTATTTACTGATGTTTATAGGCATACAAGTCAAATTTAAACATCATTAAAAAATCAAGGAATGTTCTTGATATTCAGTGCCAAAAGCATAAATATTTTCCTGGCTTGAAGGTATTCCAAACCTGTCCCTAACAGATATTTATCTGAGTAAAACAAGCTACTCAGGGAGGATTGGACACAATTCTAATTATCCACTATGAACAATGATGTTAATTAGCTTTATTTTGGAAAAGAACAGTGCAGGTTTTTCACTTGTAAGAATTGCTGGTTAATTAAGCATGGTGGTGCTCCAGGCAGTGTTGAAGGAGGAGTGAAGGCTATGACAAAGGCTTAGGGAGTTGCCCAGTGTCTTACACAGTGCACATATTCTCTGACAATGTGTTGCCTAAGTAAGTCACTCTGTATGGAAGAGACATCAGCAAATCAAGGGGTGAGTTTCAGCCCCCATCACTTTCATAGTATCAGACATTTTTGTTTAAATCCAATCAGAAAGTTCCACCACTGCCCAGCATTTGAAATCTATTTGGTAATATACCTTAGAGCAATGTTTGAATAATAAAAATGTTTAAAAAAAATAAAGCAATCATGAAAAAAAAAAACAACCTTACTTTCCAAGGGCAAAGCATTCCAGTTTTACAGATGAATCCTTTGCAGCTTGTACAGTTTCAGGAAAACGCACTTCAATCTTTGGCTCATATTCCCCCATGACACCTGTTAAATACCAAAAGAGCTAGCAGCATTTCTGGAGAATATAAGTTTCCTATGAATAAAGGCTTCATTAACCAAAATTTGATCATTTGGTCTTAGTAAGAGTTAGTGATTCCAGTTTGAAATGCATACCTGCTTTTGAGTTTTCGACAATGATTCTGTACTAGGGAAATTTGCACTCATCCTCCTATCCTGGAACTCATGGGCCCTGATATGTTCATGAAGGAGTGAGGAACATTTCAGCTAACACTATCAGAAATCTGATACAGCCCCACAATCCAAAATATCACTATTTTAACAGGAAAACTTATGAAATAATTGTATTGCTGAAGTTTAGTACAAAATGTTTTTCTGTTGATTTAGTGTGTAGTACACTTGTTAAATTTTTTTTAAACTTCTGAGTAAGGAATTATTTATATAAGTGAAAGTTAAAATAAGATGTTGTTCTAATGAATCATAAATATACTATCTACCAGAGGAGCTGTAACTAAAATGAATAGCTATAATCTACTTTCTTCACCTGAGTTAGCAAGTGCTACTTTGATATTTAAAAATCTTTGATCATTTTTAAATTTGATATGGTAATTATGTGACTAATCCATTACAAATAAATGCCATTTTGGTGGTCCATATATAACTATAGAAATTATGAAAATTGTTAAATAAACGTAAATGTAGATACCAATTTTTCAGACCTTGATCATGACAACATTCCAAAAAATATTACTTCTAAAGCTAAATTGGCTCATTTGATTTATTAGTATCTGATTTTCTTGCATGCTATTTGAAGAATTGTAATTGATTTATACTACATATCATGCTTCTAGCCTACTTTTTCCATTAAAAAATGATGAAGTGGACAGAAGAAGTTGAAAAAGAAGGGTTAAGATGGGGGAAGAAACAACTAAGAGTACACAAAATAAAATAAGGAAAATATTGAAGAATGACTATGGAAATTGTTAGCTTTTGGGCTTTCCCACTCATGAGCATATACTCACAGGAGGAGAGAAACTGTAGAAACCTAATGTTTGCTGGTATCTGAATAATAACTTTGCAGGTATACTTGAGTAGTTACTGACTCTGAAGTCTCTGCCATGATAACTCTGGGGAGCTGGTTTCATGGTTGTGTTAATCTGATTATCATTATAATCTTCCTTGTCTTAAACTCTTGGGGGGGGGGACAAAATCTCTATGAGTTATTGCATTTCAAATTGAAGATCTGATCATCAAACTCACTCATAATTTTTTTTATCTTTATGTATCCCACTGTGAACATTTAATTAGAGGATCAACTATAGGATTTTTAAACTTCAGTAACTTTCTAGCTCTCTAAATCTTACACTAGCAATGACTTGACTAAACCTCACAACTCATCAGAGACCAAACTGAATTATGTTCTATGGAGGCATAATTTAGTACAAATATTCCACCCTATCCCTCTTTGGAATGCTTTGCTTTACTTGGGTACAATTTTTTTTTCATTTTGCCAGCCAGGTAAATAATGAACAAAAAAATGGCAAAGATAGACAAAAATGGGGTACCAAAGACAGGCTGCTAAATGTGTTAAGAATATATTAATTCAAGTATGTAATTGGCAGCACACACACACACACACACACACACACACACACACACACACACCAACTTCCCCAGACAAGCATGTTTTTTACAAACAAGTTCTTAAGCAAAGAAAAGACAATCTGCTCCAATTCCAGGAAAGGAACAGCACAGTATACCCAGAAATGAGTGCACTGTACCATGTGCTTATAGAACTACAGGATTTTCTACTTAGATTTTAGTAGTATCTGATCTTCATCATACTCTGAAGTGCATATAAACTCAGGTGACAAGAGAATATAAGAAATCTCTGAAGACCTCCCCACACTTTAAGGACCCAGAAGTGACAGTCGCAGATAACTCATGGTCTTACCATCAGTGCGTTGCACTAAAGGAGTAGGTGGTCCTTGCACACTTCTATGGGCTTCTTTGTTTGTTACGAAGCAAGTGTAGTTGCCGACATCTGATGGCTGTACTTTGGCAATATATAAGTTCCCTGTCTCTTGAGACACAAACCGCCTTTTGTCCTCTTGAACATACAAAGGGTTATCATTGAAGGTCCATGCGTAAGTCAAATCTGAAAGATGGAAAAAATACATTATCCTTACTGCATTTATTAATTGGCTTATTTATTTTTGTTTCTTTCTTGTTTCTATTTTTGTTTTGTTTAGTTTTGTTTTTAAGACAGAGTCTCCCTGTGGCCCCAGCTGGCCTGGAACTCACTAGACCAGGCTGGCCTTGAACTCCCAGAGATTTGCCTGCCTCTGCTTCCCTAGGGATTAAAGGTGTGCATCACCACACTCGTAAGTGCATTTTTTTATCTAAGACTTATGGTTCCCATTTCATCATTACAATAAATGTCTGTTCATATTTTGCTAATTTATATGTATTCAATTGTAGTAAATATAATATTCACTATGTCCATATATACCTCGGTTTGGAAGATAAAATTGTCTTTCTCCATCAGTGCTTTTGGGATTAAGGAATATAATGATAGAATATCTAAAGAATAAGTGGGTGAGTCTGTTAGAAAAATCTACCAAATATATATAGCACTGCTGGTTTGAAGTGTACATGCTGTGTCTTTAATGATGCTTATTTCAAAGCAGTGTTTTACAGTATGCTGTCAGAAGGATTAAGCACATTTAGAGGTTGTAGTTAATTTTTTAACTTTTAAATTTTAGTTTAAATACTCTGTTGTAGATCTTTAGTTTATTCTGGCAACAGTATATAATTTTTGAGCATATTTCTGTAATAGTGTTAGGACTTAGCATACAAATAAGTAAAATTTGTAGCCTATTGCTGCTAATAGCCTCCATTGTGGATAATCCCAGTGCGGAACAGCATATGTACTTACAGAGGAATTATAGGAAACTCAGATGTGATAGGTAGTTTTAAATATCAACTTTCCATAACCTGGAGTCACCTGGAAGAGATTCTCAGATGCAGAATTATTTAGATTAGGTTGACCTGTGGGCTTGCTGTGGCAGACTGTCTTGATTGTTAATTGACCCAGCACACTGTGGGTGAAACTGCTCACTGGGCAGGAGATCCAAGATTGAACCAGCTGTCTCAAGGTCCTGCCTTGACTTCTCCTCAATGAAGGATTGTAACCTGAACTTGTAAGCCTAATATACTCTTTCCTTCTCAGTTCTTTTTGTTCGTGTATTTTATCACAGCAGCAATGAAACTAAAACACCAGAGGAAGGGCCTCCAATGAGTTGTGGTCAGAGATATCTCAGATAAACTAGCTCCAGGAAGAAGGAGACCTGTCCAGCAGCTGGCAAGTAAACAAACACTGATCATAACACACAGCAAGAGCAAGGAGCTGAAGGTTAAAGAGAGCATGCACTACATTTACTAAGCATCGTTTGACACATTGCTGAAATTTTTAATATAAATATGAATCACATAAATAATTGATATATAATGAATAAAATAAAATACATGGATAATGTGTTCAGTTTAATTAAGTCTAAATATAAACATTTAGTGAACATGATCTCTAATCAAAATGTGGAATATTTCCATCTCTTTAGAAATCATCTCCTGTTCCTTTCAGGTTAATCTTTAGCTCCAAGAACTACCATGTGATTTCAAAGATTAGATTGCTCTTGCCAATACTTGTAGTTCTTGAAAACAAAAGAAGATGAGTTGTGATTTTTTTCTTTCTTCTTTCTAACATTCCAAACATTTGCTTATGTTGCAATCCTATTCATGTTTCCTATTATTGCTAAATTAGTACTTCATTTTGTGATTACATTGCTATTTTTCCACCTTCTCATTTTATTTTTATTTTTATTTATTTTATATGCAAGAATGTTTTGTTGCATGTATGCAAGTACACCCCTGCATTGGCCAGAATAGGGCAACTGATCCCCTGGAACTGGAATTATAGAGGGATGTTAGCCACCTTGTGGGTGTGGGAACTGAACTTAGGTTCCCTGCAAAAGCAGCCAGTGCTCTTAACCACTGAAGCACCTTTCTGGCTCTGCCTCCTTCTTATTGATGAGGTTATGAAGTGTTTCCAGAGTGGAGTCCTTATATATTATAGTCAAATGAAAATTATAAGGATGTTTGTGTACATTTTTATTTTTCTTGGATAAGTTCTTAAACATGAGACATGCACTAAATATGTTTAACTATGCAAGCAACTAGAAAATTCGTGTCAGTTCAGAGGCATCTGTACCTCTCCATTCTCAACACAAGAAAGTTTCAATTGTTGCATATCTCACTGAAAAGAATGAGTTCAATTTTTACTTTGGCCCTAAGTCTTTGAAACTAACCAAATATTCTTATACACTGAAGCTTTGGATGTTTGGTTCTATCTGAAGTTAAGAAATTAGGAATAATTTGGGAAATGTGTATAGAACTATATATAAGGAAATGGAAAAAAGATACCTGGCTATAATGGTATCCCCCAAAGACAGGAAACCTATAGTTACTGGAGTAGGAAAGAAAAAAACTCTATAGTTAGGTGAAAAGTATCTTCATCTGAATGGATAATCACACACATGGGAGTTTGTGGTGGGGCACCTCAAGACTGACCAAAGCTACTCCATATTACAAGTGAGCCACAGCTAAATGCAGGAGTTAAAGTTAGAGGCAGTTAACTCAATTGTGGGAATGGAAAAGTTTGACCCAGCTGCACCAAGGTGTGTGGTTGAGAATAGGTTGGTAGGTGTGCACACAGTTGCTCCAGTGAACAGCAGATTTATGGCTTCTATACTTTCTGCTTGGCTTATTCTTGCAGAATAGAAATTGTTAGGGTCGGGGCTTTCCACACTTCAGCTTGGGAACTTAAACTTTTTACCTCTGGATGTGGTTATTCTGTATAAAAGCTTCTCCTAAGAATGGCTAGGGACTGCACTTGGAACCCAAATGCCCAGTGTAGTCTCTGGCCCAGCTATAAAAACTTTCTTTTGGCAATTTTCTGTGTCTGAATTATCTTCTCTGGTGAGACAAACTCATAACAACCATAGCAACTACCTACTAGAATATGCAACCAGTGGACTCTTATTCAGAGAGAGAGGTTTTGGATCACATTGGACAGCTGTTTATGTTAAAGACTGATATAGAAGCAAAACATATTGTACTGCAGTCGTCTTCCTCAGTTGGGAGCAGATCTCCTGAATCATTCTTAGTAACCATACTGTATGATGGGGTGACACAGACCAATGGCTATTCTTAATTAAATAAGTTCTGTACAGGAAAAACTCTGGCTGAAGTGGAAATGAAGAAACAGTGCCATTTTATCTACCCTTACAAATAAGATCACTGCAGTGGTCAGCTCTGTCAACTTGACACAATCTATAATCACCTTGGAAGAAAGTCTCCAAATGAAGGATTGAGTACATTGGGATGGCCCATAGGCATGTCTGTAGGGGATTGTCTTAACTGATGTGTGAAGACACTGCCTACCATGGATGGCACTATTCCTTAGGCAGAGGGCTCTGAACTGTGTAAGAGTCGGGAGAACGAGCTTGTAAGCAAGCAAAAAAGCAAGCATGCATGCATTTAGTCTCTCTCTGTATTCTGACTGTTATGCTAGCCCTATAAATCTGACTACCTTGCCCTCTGTGCCATAAAGGACTATATGTCCTCGAACTATAAGTCAAAATAAATCCTTTCTCTCTGAAATTGTGTTTTGTAAGGATACTCTATTTCCAGTAACAAAAATTTAGCTAATGCAATTATACCCCCCATACATAAAACATTAATTTAATAATATACTTAAGGAATCTGATTTTATGACAGAATAAAGACAAGAAGAGACAAGGTAAGAAGAGAAGAAGGAAGCAAAGGAGAAGAAAGCAGACAAAAGAAAAGAAAATCATAAAAAAACAGAAAGGTATCTACTAACACAAGACCATTAATAGCAAGGAAGAATAAAATAATTCATAAATTAAACTTTATAAATTTTATTGAGACAAAGCCATCTATACTGAAAAATATCAAATATTTTTTCAGGAAGGAATATATGAGGTAAAGATATGGTGAGGAACAACAGTAACAAAATGTTACTTTAGCAAAAAAATAATTTAAAAGTAGCATTTAGCCTTAAAACTTGTGTCAATTAAAAATAAAAATGCTCATTTGTTATTATGTGAAAATTATGTAATAAATCAGTAAGTTTAGTTTTATCATCTTACAAACTTTGTATTTGTTTGCAGGAACATGTGTGCATATATGTTCATACAAGTGTTTATATTTAAAAAATCTGGAACTGATGCAGTAGTTTTCCCAGTGATGGATGGGAGATACCCAGCCTTTTCCTGTCTACATAATGTGTTTCTGACATATTGGAAATTTAAACAAGCATGTATTAACTATGTTGATACAAGTGAGTACCCACACAGGGAGAACACAGTGTCAGAAAAACCAAACACTAGAATGGCCATCAACTGATTAAAGTAAGACCTGTAACCTTTGTATTCTTGCTCTGAACATCTCAGAACACAGCATTATATTTTATTCAGGCATCGATTCCTAAGGCTGATGCTCATTAAAAGCATTATGAAAATTAGTAGAAATACAGATTGCTAATTCTATTCGTGCCATTTGGCTTCATTATATTTCAGTTAGGTGTCATGCAATCTGTATTTTTAACCAGTTCCCAAGGACTCAGGCAGCTGAATTGCACGTTATGTTCACAGCACATTTTTCTGTGAGAAGAATAAATAATCTCAAGTCTATAAAGAGAAAGTTATCAAAATGTAGCAAAAGCTAGAAACTATGTAGCAAGTGAAAGAAGAAAAAAACCCTAAAACCCTATATTTTGACCTGGAGATAAAGATTTGGGAAGAGTAGAGTTTGCTTCATACATTGGAGGAAGATGGTGTGCTCAAGCACTTCATAAAGCCCTCTGAACCAGACAACACAAAATGTGGGACTAAGGTTAAAGGTTACAGGATGCTGGTTGGCCCTTATTATAAATAAAAACCAACAACACAGCGTGAATGTGGAATGCATTAAATGTTTGCTACCAAATGTGACACTGGTTAGGGATAGTGAGGGCAGGATGTCAGTCCTTTTGCTTTCTTGGTTTTTCTCCCAGCTGTGAGGTGAGCAGGTTTG